CTTTTTAACCCTTTATGATCTCGTATCGAGGTAATGTTCCACTACACAGCGGTTTATAACAAGAACATACTTCTTCCGAATACTTCTGTGATAATGTGTAATTATTATTACTTATAGGTCGCGTTTTTCTGAACTTTTCTAGGTAAAGGTACTGATCTGTAATTATGTACTAAGATTGTAACACATATTAAAATAAAAATAAGATAGTTTTTTTCTAACATCACTTTGCTTTTTTTTATACTTTTTTAAAACATTATTGCAAGATATATTAATAACTACAAGATAACAATATGTACATGTGCAATATACAGTGATTTTGTATTTTACAACTTCATTAGGCGCAATAATAAAGTGGTTAAAAAAAAAAAAACTCTTTTCGGAGTGTGTAACCGTGCACCGATCGTGGAAAAGGCCGGCTTCGGCGTTCACGACAGAACGACCCACCATGTTAGCGTCGCCACTCGGGGGGGCCGCAGGTCCGTCCTACTGCGCAGTAACGCTGTCGAAAAGCATACTCCACTTTCGCTAACAACAATCGCATCTAAAAACACTACATTGTGCTCTCGGATATGAATGAGAAAAAAAAAAAATTTATTATCACATATTAGGTCAAAACAAGAAACCCAACCGGGAAGAAAGAAAGCGTGAAGCGAGTATCCCGGGGTTTCGGTTCCTAAGCGGTTTTGATTTAGTTAGGAAGATAATAATATTTACGTCAACGAGTCTACGGAAGCTACCAGCGTAGTCACATGTTTGGATATACCTTATATGTTTCTTATATGTTATTTCGATTATCTCTGTAAAATAAACAACATTATCGTGACTTCCGAAAAAGGTTACTCTCCAAGAGTTTTATTACTTTATTACTGCCGATCTTCATATCGAGGATATATAAACTGACTCATAGATCTTTGCGTTCCATCCAACGGCTCATCTATCTTCACGTTGTCGCTTTTACGATACGATCAATCGTCTCGACGGCCGCCTATTCCTCGTTGCGTTTCTTCCGCGTTACGCATACTTTGTGTCGCTCTTTGCGACTAACAGAACAAAATTTTATATCTCGAATTTTACTCGGATATGACAGAAAAGAATCGACTTCTTGCGAACTACTTCAAGTATTTCAACTGCGTGAAAATTTGTCATTCCCCACAAATGGACGTTCTTGAAAAAACCGAAAATCTACCGATCTTGAAGGAATAGAGTGTCGACTGAAGTGGAACCGAAAGAGGAACATTTGGATTATTTTGGTCACGAACGTTTTGTCCCGTGTTTATCCGGAAGTCACAATGAACATGTATACAAACTGCGGTGACAGAAATTACGTTCGATGAGCGAAACACAAAATATATTTCCCGAAATCGATATCTTTGCAGGTAGCTTTTCGTCCTCTCAATATCCCGCTGTGCGGCCAATCCATTGAAAGGATTATTTATTCGTTCGATCTGTAAAATTTTTGTCTGACGTTTCGAAACGACGGGATTTTTGTGGGGACTTGTTTGCGCCCTTTCGGCGCGTCGTTTGCGTCGCGAAGCGCGCCGACCGTCGGGCCGCGAAGAACCGCGGCCACGTCGGAGGAATCGATAGATAAAGAGCGGCCGCCGATTTTCCCGGAATGTGTGGGCATCCGAGTTCTCTGCGGGCGAGGTACGATCCTACGACAAAAGTACAACACGATCGCGCAGCGATGTCATTTTTCCGTGTCCGTTTCGCGGAAACGCGCTGTGGTGATTCGATGGTACGAGGTAAATGCGCGCGGTAGAGGAAAAATAGAGAAAAACCAAGGGACACAAAGATTTCTTCTCGCGAGAAGAAATTGCAATCACATCGGAATCGCAGATTCCGGGAAGAAGAAAAACATTCGAGAACGCGAACACGCTTTCGGAGCATAAAGGCGTGAATATACGCGATCGTCGACGAAAGCAACGAATCCTGTCAACCTGGGATTTTTCACGCGTTCGCAGAAATAAATTGTTAAATCGCAAACGCGTTTCGGGGTCTTGACACTTCCTCAAGCTCGATGAATCCTCTCGACTCTAGAGAACCTAAATTTAACGTAATTTCCAATGTTCTCGCAACCGAGCACAGGACTTACCGCATCTCGAGGGCGGTTAGCAACGTCGACCAGATGCATCGTGGTAACGGCACAGCAGTCACGGTCACAGATACTGGCGTTCAGCGGGCCGCTTCCAACACGACGACGATTAGCCACGACGACAACCGGGCACAACACTGGAGCAACACACATCACTGTCACACACACGCACAAACACCGGTATCTCGGCGATGTCCGTTTTTGGCGACGTGTGAGAGAGTCCAGGAGGCGCGGCTCTTCTGGCTCGGAAACGGCGCGGTGCGGCACGGCCCCGACGGCTCGTCGACGAGAAAACCGACGCGAGACAGAAGAGAGAACGCGCGAGAGCGCGCGGGGGGAGGGAGAGGTGGGGAAAGAGAGAGAGAGAGAGAGAGAGAGAGAGAGAAGGCGCGAGCGAGAGCGCCAAAGGGAGAGACAGGGAGAACACGATTGGTAGGAGGCCGCGGAATAAAAGCGCACGTCCGTCGACGGGTTTTCTAACTTCCGGTCGTTCGTAACGCACTTTCTCGCATCCGTTCGTTTTTCGAAGGAAAGACGGCACCACCAAATCAACGACACACACTGCACTGTGGGTGTGTGTTAATGCACGACGACGCGAAAAGTGTGTGAGATGTCCCCCTTTCTCGTCGTCGGCAACTGTGATGTGTGTGTGTGGAGTCTCTCAGAGAGACTATATCCGCGCGATAAAAGTTCGCCTCTCGATGTACGGCTGAGAAAGAGAGAAAGAGAGAGAGAGAGGCGAGTATAGTGTGCGCTGCTCTATCGTACACTTGCGATCGCACGGAGAAGATCCTATGAACCGACACGATGCAACCGAGATCCCTGACTGAGCAGCCGTCGCCCGAAGAAGCTGCCCCATGAGACCGCAGCGCCGCCAACCGTCAACGACGCGCCAACCAAAAGTTCCTGCCGTTCCAACGCGAGGGTTCTCATTCTCTCTTTTTCATCTCGTTTCTTTCTCTGTGATTTTTAATCAATCGGATATGCGCTTGCAGTGTGTGTTCTCGCGTGTCTTTTTGTCATCATATAAAAATGTAACACGCGCGTACAGCAAAATGTAATACACATAGTATATGTCCTAATTAAATAAACACAAGTGTTTTACAATAATATTTTACTTCGATTACTGCATAATACAAAGAGACATTTGACGAACAGAGATCTTATACTCCGATGAGATTTCGGAGTTTTTTTTTAAAACTGTGTTTTAGAAAGTCACGAAATTCTCCGTCGGAGGGAGAGTCACTGGTGACGCGAAATTCTCCGTCGGGGTTTCGATCTCTCGGCGCGCCGATAGGTCGCTCAGCTGTGAACTCTCGACGATCATTGGCTGAACACCGCCTCGCTCGGAGCAACAATAAACCATCGCCGAGGAGCGAGATAGCAATTGAGAATCGTCGATGTCTGTTCCGCGTGCGTTTCCGTTTCTTGTAAAGGATTTCGCGGACGCTCGCCGGTGTTCGCGCGCTAAGTGCACAACATTGGCACAGGTGCAACAACGTGTGTGCGAGATCACACGGTTTTAATTACTCACTTATGCAAACATTTTGCGAGACGTATTACGACGAACAGCGGCCACGAGAAATCATTGTTGACAACCACCGTTCGCTCGCGCACCGCGTTCACCGTTCATCGCCATTTCGCCGACGCGGCAATCACCACGACGACGAGGACGAGGGACGCTGCCACATCGGCTGACCAGGATCCACTTGGCGATGAAGAAGAGCTGAGTTCAAAGTGCGGCTCTCGTCGTAGGCCGAGTACACACGAGGAAGTAAGTGGCACGACTTTCCTCGCGAAGTGACAGTTTCCGGATCGATGTGCATATGTTGCTTGTGAATTTTTCATAACACGTGTATGTACTAATGTACGAAAGCTATTGTTTACATTGGCGAGAGTATTGCTTTTTAGCAAGATATCCCGGAGATTGTCATTGCAAAAAACGTGCAACGTTAAACGTTTCTCGAGAAGAAATATCCTTGTGTTGATTTACTTTACGTGGAAACTTGGGGTTATGTTGGCGGAAATTTTGATATTTAAACTTTCGGAGATTCTCATCTCGAAAACACGTTATGTCAGTGTCATCAAGTGGATTGTAAAGGAAATTTTTTTCACATATGGCTTACGTGTTAAGCTGTTGTTCAGCTATTAATAGGAAAGTTAATTTTGTTCACACAAGAAATATTTGTGAGATTTTTTTTATCTCTCTTAAGAAGTTATTTCACGCTATTGTTTACGTTAGGTAAAAATATTGGTATTTTTTACTTCAGATCTATATCAGTGCACATATTTTCCATGAAACTATTTATATGAATATTTATTTGCTTTTTATATTTTTTCAGAAAACTCGTGTAACATATTTTCCTCTGTCGCTTACATATAATTATATGTAATTATTTGTAATAGTTCGTGTTTTTATATTTCGGATTTTATAGCTATTTTTACAGACTTACGTAGAGAAAGAAAGAGGGGGGGGGAGGAAAACTTAGGCAATTATTTATTTCTTGTTCACACTATTTTTATTTGTAATGCGCATTAAGAAATTTCATCTCACACACAAGCGCACAAATAAATATGTTTAACATTAAAAAGATCGTGTTTTTTAACATTAAAAATTATTTGCCAACTTGTTGCATTTACGTTATTAAACGTCAGTAAACGTAAGTGCGCGCGCATAAACTTACTCCACGAGCTGCACAATAAATCGTTTGGCAACGTCTGTGGTTTCGAATTGAGGAAAATTGACGATGATCTCGCAAATACGCGGAAATGTCATTTACGCGGTTCCACGTATACACACGTACGTTGCAGACTCTTCTTCGTGGAGATGTAGGGAATTTTCATTGAGATTGTCGGTCTGCCGACTCTCGAGATCGACTGGAAAGCACGCGGCTGTCTACGTGTCCCGTCGCTTCACGCTAATGGTTGTGTACTAATTAATCCTTCAATGTACGGATAGACAATTAGCAGCGATCGCGCGATCGATTTTTTTTATCGGTGTTTGTATCGCAAATATAGATTCAATGTTTTTTTGGAGCTTATCCAAACAATGATCTCCATATCTAATAAGTGTAAATTACATGTGTGTGCATACACACACATATAATATATATATATATATAGTTTTATATATAAAATTAACGATAACTAAACTGTCTCTCATAATATTGTTGACTTTAATAAATCTCATGCAGATCACAATTACTATGTTATTTGACTGTATCATGGGACAATTTCTCGTGACACAGTAATTTCTCAATATACACGGTCTCTCGGTTGCTTAGGCTAATATTACATTGTTAACAATGGCAACAACGTTATCAGTTTACTGCGTGCATACAGACAAACTCATTCGCCGTGTTTGAATTTGTCATGTTTCCCCAATCGGAGGATATTAACATATTTTGGTCTAATTTGCATTTGTGTGTTTCATGAATAATAATTACACGAGAAATAAATCTCGAGATTTATTATTGGTTGATGATATATTTACGAAAAACATTCTTGATATCGACATTTGCATTTTTTTTTCACTCGAATAATCTTGAAAGTTTTTGTATCCGTGTAATAAGAAGCTGCATCTTTTTTTTACCTGTAATTTTTCGAGGCAATAATAATGCGCTCAATAATGCGTTCAGTCACGCTAATACATACGCACGTGGATGTCGAATTCGTTGCGAGAACATCACGTTTTCGCGCGAACAATGCACGTGAGGGTGTCGTCGTCGGTATCGTCGTCGTCGTCGTCGGCTATGTATCCGAAACAGAATTCGCATTGCGCGTGCTCCGAAATGTCAGTGAACTCGAATTCAGCTGCTTAAGAGGTCGGTCATTCCACCCCTTTCTCTCCTTTTTTGCATTCTCGGTGTTGTTATCGTTAAATTCGCCTCGATCGAAAAAAGAGCAAAATAAATCGAAATGACTGAGAAAAGAAATGTCCGATTTTTTTGTTACATGAAACGGAACGACATCTGACCTTTGTAATCGGCGATTGATTTACGAAGCATTCAAATAGCTCTCTCTCGAGTCGTACTTTTGTTTTTTTTTTTTTTTTTTTATTGACGAAATATACCTCGTTTGTACTGCAATATTTGCCTTAATGCTCGTTTGTTATTTACAATACAATAGTTCTATTTAAAAATACATTATTATTGAAATTACAGGTAAAAAAACGATGCAGCTTCTTATTACACGGATACAAAATCTCTAAAGATTATTTGAGTGAAAAAAATGCTAATGTCAAGATCAAGAATGTTGTTTGTAAATATATCATCGAAAAACTTGTCTTTTCTCATAAGATTAAATCTACACGTTCAAATCTCTCAATAGCTTTAAGATTGACTTACAGATAATTGTTTTCGAAGATTACGTCGATATATATATATGATTATTTATTATTTTCTCTTCTCGATCTTGTTTAGCAGTTCTGCTTGCAGTCTTCATTACCGTCGCATTTAAGAAGAAAACACTCGATAATCACATTCTATATATACATCAAATCGTCTCTCAGTCGTACTTGAATATTATTTAAAATTGTTCGGATATGATGTGATTAATGAACAACGCAAGAATAAAGTTCGAATACAAAAAGACATGTAGCTTTATTGTGTGCTACAATCTTAGTACTTTATCTCTTCAACGTACAAAATTGTTGATTATTCATTTGCGTGATAAAACACATTATAAACTCCTTCTCTCAAGTCAGAAAAACGTGTCTTCAAAACTTTACTCGAAAACTTTTGTCACGAAAATCAAAGGCAAAACTTTCACCTACGTACCGCTAAATATTACTGTCAATCATAGTTTCTTAAACTAATCATAATCTACTTTTGTGATAAAAATGATATTTCCAGTTTATTACGAGAAAAGACAAGTAGCAGGGATTTAATTGCAAATACGTTATCGTATGTGATACGTGTATCGTACGTATACATATGTAACAAGTACATTATATGTATACGTGTATATAATAGTCAACATAGCGTGTTCGCTTTCTGTTTGTGTTATTCGATGTTTATCATAACAAAGAGTTCAGATTCAGTTGTTATCGACAGAAATGAGCGGTTCGCTGCTTGGCAGAGGCCGGGGCGGCCGTCTGGTCGTGTACGGGGGTTGTCCAGTATTAATCTTCATTCTGGTGTTCCTCTACCATGCGGCTACATCGGAGATGGACAGGCTGCGGGAACTGCAAGAACAATGCGTTCATCAGCAGGAAGCTCTCGCTGCTCAACTACAAGGTGGGTGATGACGGTTTGAATATAATAGCATGTGTGACCGTCTAAAATACCGTCGGGATGAAATTCACACAGTTGCTAATATATCATTTAAGTGGCGAAAATGTGGCAACGGTGTCGCAAAGATCCGCGAATTGCTCATAAACTGCAAATCGAAGAATTTATCGCCGAAAATAAAACTGTTTATTTGTAGAATTTACGGCGAAACTGTACAGTACAATTGCAATTTACGGGGAACTTTTATTTCTTTCGAATTCTCCGCTTTTCGAGTTGCTTATACTTGAGGAAGGTTTTTTTTTTTATAACGCGGTGATTGCTCTTTTCAGTTATATTCGAATATAAAGTACGATTGGAGAAATCTTTGGCCGAGGAAAAGAGCTCGAACGCTGCGATAAAGCAAGAGCTGCAACAACGAGCGACTCGCGAGAAGTCGTTGCGCGACAAGGACAGCATAGAGGCGATGCAGAGATTCAATTCGCTACAGCAGACGTATAAGATCCTTCAATCGGAGCACGAAGATCTCAAAGAGGAGTGCAAGAAGCGGGAGAAGCTAGCGTTGGATGAGACCACGAGACTGGAAACGACGCTACAGGATCTACGAAGTCAACTGCGGCAGTTGCAAAAGGACAAAGAAAAAACAATGGAGAACTTGAAGAATAACTACATGACATTGCTGGTTGACCACGAAAAGCTCGAGAAAAAGTATAACGTATCTGCGAAAAGTAACAGCGATAACGAAATGACCATTTTACACCTCAAGAAAGAGGTTTTTCAACTCCAACGTGAGATAAAAGAGCTGCGCGATGGCAAGGTACAAATTTGAACTATCACTGTGTGAAAAAAAAAATATAAAATCTAAATTTAAATCTTTTCTAATACATATATGCATGCACGCGGTGCATCATGATTGCGTAAATATCAGGATTATTATCATGTCTTTCAGAGTAACTTCTCTAAAAGCACACCTTCGTCCGAAGCTGTTCTGAAAGTTAGTCCTTTATCATCCCGGAAACCCGATTTGCCGCCGATCCCAGCGCCGCAACACCAGCAACAGGTAAGTCCGCCGTTGCCGTTGTTAAACGCATCTCGCGACTATCGCGTAGATGAACAAGCGGTTCTGTCGGAGGAGGAGATGAACAACGACGTCAACGAGCCGACAAATAATATCGGATTTATTCAGAAGAAAGGCAACATAATCGTACCAGTTGGTCCGAATGAAGTAAAAGAAACGACTACCGAGCTTTTCTCTGACAAGCAGCAGAAAGAGGCGAAGCGTTTTGAAGAAGAGCAAAAAAAACAGGTAATGTCGCCGCCTTTGAATCGGGACGACAACAATCTGAAGGACGACTATGTTCCGGCAGCGCAAGCTGAGCATCCCCTAGCACCATCTGCGATTGAAAAAATGCCCACAGTCGCATCTAGTCTAATCAGTGTCAAAGAACACGCGGAGAATAACGAGTTGCAGAATCTGCAAAAAAAAATACATGGAATTCTATTTCATAAAGACCGTGTAAAGAATGTTCACTCTTAATTTGCTATCATTTGATCAAATTATTTTCAGCTTACGGTACGTGCAATCAAACGCTGATCCGTTCTACTTCTCTCTGTATAGTTTTGGAAAAATAAAATATGTTTTTATTAAATAACAAATCCTATTTTATGGATATTAAAAAAGAGAAAATATATATATATACAGGGATACAGCGAGTGAGAAAGTGGATTTATTTCATTAATTATATACATTCAGCAGAGAGCTTTGTGGTTTCAGTCTGTGATTGGTGATTCTATTTCTCGAAATCTATTACAAATGTGATAGTATATATCAATGACAAGTAATCACAACGAGCTTATTGAGTGTACAGTTTTGGCAAACGCGACTATTTCACTCTTTTCTCAGTATTGCTAGCAGCGCCATAGGCATTTGCATTATAGAATTTGTATAAGGCCGTATTAGACTTCGTATTAGAAATTGAGAATTTCGAATTAGAGTTTCTAATTTACATGATCAATTTCTATAGCATAGAAGTCTAATACAGGCTCTGAGAAATATATGATAGATGTAGCTATATAAATTTTATATTTATGCGATGAATTTATTCGTGTTGTATGCTGTATGTTTTCTAAGTTGCTTGTGACTTAGAGGTTCGAGTATTTTCTGTTATAAGTTATCAAAATACTCTTTTTTTTTTTTAACTTATACACAAAAAAAATTTTGGCTTATCTTTAATGACTTTTCTGCATTATTTTATTTTTTATTTTATTTTTATTCTCGAAATTTGTTGTTCGTACGCTTAACACTACTCTAATCATGTAATGTGTATTAACTCTAGGATATTTTAACTATCGCATGCATAACAAATTCCAAGTGTGAGTTTTGTTTTGTACGAAGAAAACTGTGTGTGTTTTAGCAAGCATTTATTTTATTAGGAAGTTAATTTGAAGTAAAATTAACACTAAATTGTAAAATTAACATTAAAATCAAATATAGTCCTGTAACGTAGTTGTTTCGAAAGTAGTCGCGCCATTTTTGTTTTTCGTAAACGATTACCTGACATTATGAGTATAGGTTTAATTAATATTGTCGGAAAAAAGTAAGGAAAAATCAAGAAAATATAAAACAAACAAAAGAAAAATGTTAAGCAGCTGTGTGAGCTTTATTTGTCTGACGCTAGGGTGTAAAAAACAGTTCAAGTGACTATTCGGGTTAAAATTGGCAGCATACCGCTGTCAATTTACTTATTGAGAGTGTCGGTTTTCAAACGGTTTTGATTGAATGGCCGCATAATGCAACCATTGTGCAATTATTTGTACTTTTCTGCTGAACACTTTAACTGCACCACAGAAAGTTTTACTTGAAAAACATCATACTTTGCACAACGGTTGTGCTCTGTTGAACGCAACTACTAAGATGGGATTAATAAGATCTTGATTAGAACTGATGATACTCGAGTATCTCATTTTTGTTTCATTTGTTTGGGTAATACTTGGTTATCAGAATACTCAAACCATATTATCTCATATTACTCGACATAATCTTGTATTATCATTCGGATATTTGTACTGTAAGAGTATCACTCTGGTTGTGTGTGTGTGTGTGTGTGTGTGTTTACGGCAGGTTCTTTATTATACATAAGAAAGAATGCAAACTAAGACATATATATATATATATATATATATATATATTAATTATACAATAAAAACACAATATACTGTAATATTAATAAATATAAAAAAATATGGAATATAATATAAAAAGATAAAATTGAAAGAAACTACGTTACAAAAAAACGCGTTCTCTATATAGATAATAAATAAAAAATAAATATTTAATAATAAAAAGTGACATGTGAGACTATTTTTTCTAATATTTATTAAATTATAAGCTGACATACATATTTTGACACTCTTTTCTTTATTTTGGTACAAATATCCAAATGATACAAATGTCGAAGTGCTACAAATACGAGATATATCCGAGTACTCAAATAATATAAGACAATACGATTTGGACTCGATTATCTCATACCTGATCTGAAATCATCAGCATTAATCTTGACCGAGACAATCTTAAGTATAATCTTAATATAGATTATAAATACAGCCTTTATTTTTTATTTTCACGAACAAAACTATTGTTAAATTATATTTTATAATATTAACTCTTTGCCTGCAGACATAGGTCTCCCAGACCCACTCAAAAATTGCACATCAGCGTTTATAGAAAAACTTGGTTTTTTTTTTAGATATAAGCGTTACTACTAGGAATTGTTTTAATTTGTTGTTTTTTTTATTGACGCAGAATCGTTCAAACTTTTGATTTAAAAAAGCAAAATTTAAAAAATATTGACTTTTCACAAAGAAGAGATTCGATTTTAAAGTCTCGTGGGTCTGACAGACCCAGTCTGTCTTACTTGTAAGTCATTTTTGAAGTCTGCAGGCAAAGAATTAAATACATTTAATTGATTTTTACTCTGTTTATGTAATCTTTCGATCAAGTTTTTACTTGTTTACAAGCCATGCGCTTTTGTTGGGAAACGAGATGATTTATGTGTTAATAATACATATAAAAGCCACGTGTTGTCCTGAATGTGCCTGTAAATCTGTGTTCTACAATTATTATAATAAATCGTTATTATATTAGCTGCTTGTAGTTTTATTAGCAACAACCTAACCCAATTATTATTGGCTTCTGCATTATATCTTTGTTGTGTTATTGCTGCTAATTTATTTTACATAAAATTGAATCAATCCTTTAACATGCTAAAGAATGCTTAAAAAATTTTTTGCCATAAGAAAACTTTGTTTTTTATTTACGTAATGTAGCATAGTTTTATTTCTATTGCACTTAGGATTGCAAATTAATATTATTTTTAAACAATATTGCAAAAAGATATTGTTGCATCGTGCGTTGTACTTCAAGCTTTCTTCGTTATTTTCTTCTTCAGTAGACTGCTTATTTTTAACGCTTTAAAAGAAACACTTTTCTCTTTGTACAACTACTTTTACTACCTTTTATACGCGTACGCATTTATTTATAAAATATTTATATAGAAATATTAATAACAACTTTTTTAGAAACGAATAACGTCGATATAAAATGCGTACACTTTAAATTATCAGCGAAAAATGTAGGCGACAGTGTAGTTTCCGAATTTTTCACAAGTTTTCCGTCGTTTTGTGTGTGAATGAATAGCCGAAGAAAATCTAAATATAGTATAAATATTTGTTATTTATCTCGCAGAGCTCTTCGAACAGTCAATCAATCGTTGTGTTGTAACATATGATAAAAGGGACTACCGATGTATATATTTGCGACTGTTGTACGACTACACCGTATTGTACGTAATTATATACAAAAATTGTACGTAATTATATACAAAAATGTTTTTTCAGGACTTAGCGCGTGACCTTGTAAGTTCACGAAAAGCGGAAAACATCACCGTGGCGAGCAACGCCAACAGTTTGGTATCACCTTCGGTCGCTGACAAAGTCGTACCGCCACCGATCAAGCCGTTGAAAGTCAAGCTGCCGGTCGGCGTGTTACCGATTCCAGAAATGATCGAGCAACAGATTAATAATGCAGACGACGAGAAGCATCAAGAGGAAGTTCGAAAGCGAGACGACGCGGCTCACAACAATGTTCCTCCGCCACCGAGATTCGCTCCTGCGAAAAACAACAAAGAAGAGAAAGAGCCGATCGTCGAAGCCGGCAACTTGGACCCACCGTTCGTCGCGAATCCTGCTCCTATGCGACCTCTCGGCGAGCAAATCGAGAGGAGAGCAAACGACGGTGGTTGGTTCCGTGTGAGACCCGGAGTGCAAGAAGTCGGCGAGGAACTTAATCAATTGGGTCGGCTTCCTGGGTAAGTCAGTTTTTGTCTATCGTAATTACGTAAAACATGTAAAGTAGCTTATATTTTAGTTTTAAAAATTGTTTCAATGAATTTATTGTCACGTAAAGTTTTTTATTTTAGATTGGACGATGGACAAGCTAACGGCGCTGATGATCAATATGATGTAGCTGATTACGATAAGGAACCGCAACAAAAGAACGATATTCACCTGGCAGAGGGCGAAGACGAAGGAGAAGGTAATTTGACGATATCGAATAAATCGGTCGATTTACGTTGAAATTATTCTTACATCTGAATTTCAGATGACGACATGCTCGACTATCCGCATAATTTGAAGCAAGAAAAGCGGGAATGAAAAGGCAAGCATCATCGTTCGAACGTGATTTTTCGAACGTGACCAACGATCGGGTGCTACGGAAGTCGACTAAAAAAATAGTCAACTTGACCTGACCTGATCTGACCTGACCGATCGTTCGGAGACTTAGCGAAAATTATTTATTTTTTGTATTATAATCCATGCAAATCGTACACACATGTGACCTCTGTCACCAAGAACATGTTTAAATTTGTTTTCATGTTTCGATACGGAGGACACAAGAGTTTAGTCAAACAAAGACCTATATATGATAGTATGTGCGTGGTACAAATGTTATCAGTCGCTAAGAATCTTCTAAAGACGCTTCTGGTTATTTCAAAAGACTCGATGTGAACGAATGAACAAAAAGAGACGGATTGTATTTTTCTAGTTCTTACTCATCACAAGCCGAGTGCGTTGAAAGTGACTTAACTGCACTTATTACTTAAGACACTCGTGACTTTGTTACTATATAGTACAAGTGTGTTAAGTTAGATTTCTCTAAAGCGGTACACGATGCTTTTGTTTGTCCAAGAGTGCAATAAAAACATATATATATATGTATATAATAGATATATATATGTATATATATAAATACATATATGTATATATATAAATATATTAAATACTGTATATATATATATATTTAATAAATTATTGCCAAATCGTGATGCTTGTTTATAGACAGCTAAAGAAAAACATCATGTGCCGCTGGTTTTATTTTTTGCTAAACTTGCGTGTCAAGTTTTATGACAAGGCATTGTTAAAAAATTAATGCCTACTAGTGAAATCGACCAATAGCGGATCACAAGAAGCTAAAAGAATAGAGAGTAACTGTCATGTTTCATTTACTCTATCTTTGTCAAAAACTTCGAGAATTACGACTTAACTTATTTAAAATAATGGAGATATGATACAAGCGTAGTTTAAAATATTTTGTTATAGTCTTAGAATCAGTTATATATACATATACAGAGAGAAGAGACACAGTGTAATTGTACATAACGTTTGTTTCGTAATAAAAAGCAGATGAAAAATAGATTTTTACTGTGTTTATTCCTACTTTCTTGCATACTTCTCAATAAATCTTATTTTTTCAGAATATTTTGTATTTTAGCATCAGTCATCGTCCAACTGGATATGTTTGCTTCAAGCAACATGGGAATATTACAGACACGTTATCTCAAGAAAATGAATTGTTAATATTTTTAAATTGTTTTAGAAGATAGTGTATCTATGTATTAGCAATGTAATAACAACGTAAATATATCATGTTAATGTTTGCTAGCTACTCTACTTCACAGTTCATTACACAAGCCAACTATCGTCTCACATCTCTATCGCAGTTCTCGGAAATCATTTACATGTCAAGATACAGAGCGTTTTTTTTCTTCTTCATCACCGTTTACACTTAAAAGAATTTCTGCAAATATTGTCTACTCAAAAATTTGTAATAACTGACGTTTGGAATGTTTTACTTTAATTCTCTTATTTTGTATGTGTGTACGCGCACATGTGTATAAGTTATTAAAAAAAATTCTATTTTCTCGTAAGTTATCTAACGAAGAGTGACTAATATTTACAACGCGCTTTGGTACACATACATTATATTCTATTTATAAAATGGCTTCTGATATCTTACGTTATTGGATAAAAACCACAATAATGATCGTAAGACACATATTGCTATGCACAAAGCAGTTCTCATTTTTTTACACGCGCAAGCATAATTTTCATTTTTCTTGCTTATTGCGCAATATTTACGTATAAGGAAACATATCTTCGTTGCACTCCTCGTCGCCATATATGCTCATTTTATCTGTTATTTCTAGAAAATTCTTTTGTGAGAAAAGTGCGCTTTCACGTTTATATCTCGCTCGTGATACATATGAATTTACTCACTTTGACCTCTTGCCTGAGAGAGTTATCACCGCGGACCTTATTCTCGGTGAACCAGACTCAGAGACAGGCAGAATCAAGAACGCAAACATAATTTAGATTTGCGCGTGCACGATCGTTTTAATCTTTTTTAATTTGATAATTCTCCTTGTCTGTCAAACGTTTCTTCACTAAAGCGCCCGCGCTGAATGTGAACAATTTTATCAGACCAATGAATATTCGAGAAAACATTGTGCATTCATGGTGTTTTTCATTTTTTTCGCAATACTTTTTATTTGCCTGAGTGATTTTATTGAAATATGAATTACTCTGTTTTTTAGTAAAAGAAAAATTACACATTGTGTGCACTTATATGTACATATATAAAGTATAAAGTAATTTATATAGATACATGAAAAGTTTTAGTAAAATTTTTATTAAAAGTATAGATACGTAAAATTTTTAATAAAGGTTTTATTAAATTTTTAGTTTTATCTTAAATATGTCGAAAATTTTTGTATATATTTAGATAATTTTATATTTAAAAAATGTATTTTATATATTTTAAATATGAAAGAGAGAGAAAGTTATTCTCGATACAAAATTATAACACATTGTTTTATGTATAAGTTTATTGTAACGAGATATTGAAGATATTATTGAAAGCAGTCGTGTCACAATGCTCACAGAAAAAGCACTCACATCATCGTGTACGAGTGTTAACAGTCGTGTCCAATTATTCTCTTGCGAGTCTCTATGTGAAGATTAGAAGAGCTCACGTATCAGCGACCTTCGCGCAAGGATGCATGACCACGTTGAGTCAGTTATATTGTCAGCGAAGAATAGGTGAATTAGGAAAATTAACAAACCTTACATACACACACGTATACATATGACGCGTTCTTAATACTTGAGAAATTCTAGATAGAAGTAAAATATGAAATAAAAAAAATAATATATATATTAAAAGGAATAAATCGCAAAAAGCCACACCAATGGAGAAATACGACAATTAATATAATTGCAATATGAATTGCATATATAATATTAGTAGTATTAATAATATATTAATTCAGATTGAAAATTATAACTGTGAAAAATAAATACAATTCAATCCTTTCTGCGAATTCATATTTCAGAGAATGTATTTCAAACGTGTGATTTCGAGCTGATCGCGATATATGTACGCTCAGCTCGATCGTGTTCAGCGCCGCGTTAATATCGTTTGCAAATCAGAATTCATCGCCAATGTAAACGCGCGCGATTTTTATGCTCGAGGCGTTTCTCACGGAAACTGGGAAAACCGCAGATCATTTATGTATACTTGAGCGATCGATCTTTCAGAGCCTATAGGGATAAAATTTCGTTCTCAAAATTCAGTATTTCTCCACGGAAAAAAAGTACGTATACAGGGTGTCGCAGATAGAATTTGTTACAAGCGCGAGCGCGCACGTGATTTTAATGTATTCTGTCGAATATGTTAAAATATCGCTACTTTCACGAATAATTTTGCATTTATTTGTGCAAATTTTATGAATAAATGTTGAAAAATGAAATAAAATGTATTATATATTATAATATATTAAAATATATTATATATTATAAAAAGTGGAAAATTAAAACGTCACGTTTTTCTCAAAAAAACGTATTGACAATTATTGATCTATCGACTACAATTTACGAGAAATGATGTTATTACAAATAATATTGATAGCGTTCTCGTGTGTGTGTACCGACTCGTCTTTCATGTACTTTTCGCAACCTTCGACCTTGGGAGCTTAGTGTGAGTTTCGAATGTTTCATCTTGCGAATTTCTAGGCGACGAATCTCGATATGTTATATACACACGCACACGTCTGTGTACCTATTTTGTAAACATGTGTACATACGTGTACAATACGTCGATGAAACTCGCTTATGAGTAATCACGACACTGACGTAATATCGGGCCCCACTACTCGAACCGAAGATCGGTTCGAGGTTTCAAAGTCCCTGAGACGAGAGGCAACGTCGTGATCGTGCCAGTTCGCTTCTTTCGTTGCTGAAGGTAAGGTGCAAATTAAAACACTTTTAAAATACTGATATATAAAAAGAAGACGCGTCTACGTATATAAATTCCGGAGAAATCATTAAACAGAAATATATACAACTTTACACAACAGAAATATACAACTTTAAATAATTAATTGTTAAATAACTGATAAAAAAGATAGCGGACAGAGGAATATATAGTTTATAATTTATGTGCTGAAAATGTATAATAACCGTAATTATATTCAATGCTATCTCGCGTCTAACATAAGATATTTTGATAAGCCCCCAATGGAATTACATGGTCGGAGTGTTATTACATTAGTTCTGCTAATCAGCGTAGCTCAGGCTAAAGTCGATTTAATGCTGTTCGATTGATCGGATTAATTATATACGCGTTGTAGTTCCAGACAGGAGGAGGATGAAGACGTTACTCTCGATCATTTTCGCGCTACTCTGCATCCAAGCAGCGCTTAGCGCTGATCCTCATGAGCATAGCAAAGTGGTTTGTTATTGGAATAGCACCGCTTTCGAAAGAGAAGGTAAGTCTTTCTCTTCGTTCGTATTTATCGAAAGTTGTGTTTATCTGTTTTGCGCTGTGAATGTCGAAAACCAAACGGTATTCCGCGAAATGTCGGAATTTTCTACGTACGTTCCGATTCTTCGATTCGTTTTACAAGTGTGCGCATTTTTATTCTTTAAATCTCAATTCTACAAAACACGATAAAAAAACAATAAATTCATCGTATTTTCAAAGGTCCGGCAAAGTTTCAACTCGATGACGTCAAGCCCGCTTTGTCTCTTTGCACACATCTCGTTTACGGATACGCTCATATCAATTCCGATTTTGAGATCGTTCCCGGCTCGCCGAATCTAGATACCGGATCGGGCTACTCGTATTACAGACTCGCCACTCAGCTGAAACGATCGTTTCCCGATTTGAAAATCTATCTGAGCGTCGGAGGAAATTCAGATCCTTACGACGAGGAACACAAATACCTAGTGCTGGTATGAGCGCAATACTGTCACTTATTGTCGCATCCATATATTGCATCGATATATTATATCGTGTGATATGATAGAAATAATATTTTAAAAAGTTTTACGGTTTATTAACGAGTTAAACGCAATAATCAAAATATTTTGACAGACTGAGACTTCGGAAGGCAGAACGAAATTCATTAACTCCGTGAATCGCCTGTTAAACGATTACGATTTCGATGGTATCGATCTGGCATGGCAATTCCCGCCAGTTAAACCCAAGAAACAGCGCAGCACTCTCGGTTCTTGGTGGCACGGTCTCAAAAAGAAATTGGGCTACGGAAAATTCCAAGACGATAAGGAACAGGAGCATCGCGACGGTTTCACCATCTTAGTGCGTGATCTCAAGACACAACTCAGACCACGATTCAAGGCTCTGACCATTACAGTGCTGCCTCACGTTAACGCCAGTGGTTAGTGCATCGATAACGTTAACAATAATTTTATTATTGTATAAAAATATATATTTAGTTTTGCGTTCTATTTAATAGTCTACTACGACGCCAGACTGTTGGCGCCCAACATCGAGGCTGTGCATCTCTTCGCCTTCGATCAGAAAACTCCGGAACGTAGTCCGAAAGAAGCCGATTTTCCAGCACCAATTTATGGCAGTTATGGACGCGTGGTGGATGACAATATCGATACCGCGTCAAGGTAAACTGGTTATTTTCTACAATATAAATTCGTTTATTTTTTCTTTTCGTGTATTATTTTCTCACAATGTACTTTGATATGTACAACGTATGCAACGCAACCAATTTATGACAGTTACGGACACGTGGGAGATGACAATATTGATGCCGCGGCAAGGTAAATTTGCCTTTCTCCCACACAATGTATTCAATATATTTTTCCGTATCTTTATTTTATTTAACGTATAAAATGCAGCATGCTTATCCGTTAAACTTATACAATAACATATAGAGATTTTAATTTTATTTAAAATAGAAACTATTGTCAGTTCTTTGCTTATTATCTGCATTTTCTCTTCTTCTTGTTTTGAGTGTCATATGTTTTTGAAAGTTTGTCTGCTGGATATATTCTGTACACACATGACTCAATCAAAATAATATATAAATATAATTTGTAAACAGATACTGGCTGGAGAATGGCACTCCTGGCAGCAAGATCGTCGTTGGGATTCCGACGTACGCTAACACGTGGAAATTGACGGCCGAGAGCCAGATTTCCGGTGTGCCGCCCATCGTGACTGACGGTCCTGGTACCCCTGGACCCCATACCAACGACCCGGGATTATTGTCCTACGCCGAGATGTGCGCCAAGTTGACTGAGCACGCGGCGGGAAGACTGCGACGCGTCGGAGACCCGTCCAAGAAATACGGAAGCTATGCTTATCAGGCTTACAACGCTGATACCGGAGCCGACGGGCTCTGGGCGGGTTATGAGGATCCGGATACTGCCGGTAACAAGGCCGCGTTTGTAAAATCCAAAGGACTTGGCGGTGTGGCAATCGTGGATCTGTCTCTTGACGATTTCCGAGGTGTTTGCACCGGCGACAAATATCCCATCGTCAGAGGAGCGAAGTATAAGCTGTAGAGACGCATGAAGCAAAAAAATGATCATTCTGGATTGTATTTAAAGTCATCGAAACTTCGAGATGCGTAATTTGTTCTTCAAAAGATTTTTACGTTTTTATTTGATGATAGTTAGGCCATTGTTTGTATGAGAGAATTGAGTTTATACACATATATATATTTTATCTAACGAATAAACACCTTCAACATTTTTAATGAGATTCAAAGAAAACTTTTAACGAGACAAATTTTAACGAGATAAATTTTCATGAGAAAGTTTAACGATGAATCGTAAACGTATTGGTAAAAACCGCTTGATCCGTTTTTTTTTTCTTTTCTGAAACATCCTTAAGTGCTATTTATGTCATCGGAGTTTTTCCTGGAGTCGATTTTCCTCGAAAGCAATGGCGAATTACCGAGGTCTTACACTTTGCCGGGAGACTTCTCGTAAGTAGAAGTGTCATCAAGAATTTCTGAGTGGTTTAAAGTTCACTTAAAACTCAAAAATTTTCCGAAAGTATATACTCTCGAACTGCCACAGAGAATGGCAATTGTTTCACGACAAAGAAAAAACTTATTATGACGTATCTGATATTTGATGCTTTCGCGGTGTGTTGTATTAACATTCGAAGATATTTTTCAGGTTTGAATCGCGTTCAAGTCATTTTTATATCGACGTTTCGTAAACATAAATGTTGGTGTAAAAATAACACTAACGCGGTTCGAACCCGAAAAAAACATCTTCGAATATTACGACATACGGATCATTTGGTGTCTCGATTTTATTTTATTACTAAAGTTGTGTATGCAAAGTTATAAAAGTTAAATAAAAAAAACCTACTGTGTATTATTCTTATTTTGAAAACAAAAAATGTTATTTCTCTTAAGAAGAATTTTTGTCGTCTCTAAATTGATTTTTGTGGTTTTCTTTATAATAAAACTTACGAGGACACGCGCAACTTCGAAAAAGACAAAACTAATAAAGAATTCAGAAGAAGGGAGAACTACACATACCAGGAGCTCTTCATATACGTACGATATATATATTTATATAGATAATATATTTTTTTTCGTGCAGTCTATTTTTTTTTTCGGCCAAACGATACATTTGCACGGGTGTATAGCAAAGGTTTCTCTTTTAATTAGACTAGACTTGTTAACATATCCAACATTTAAGAGTTTACATCACACCGGATACAATTAATAATTCATTCTTTCACACTGATTGAGTTAATCTTCTCTCTCTATCTCTCTTTCTTTCTCTCTTTCTCTCCCGCAAAATAAATTTGAAATTAAAAAAAAAAAATAATAATAATAATACACACCGAAACACAGCGACTCACTGATAAACATGCGATCTGATTGTCAACGCGCGATCTACACCGAATCTGGATCGCGCTTAAACGTCTTGTTGATGTAGATCGCTTCCGAAAACAATCGTTTTGAACTTATGATTAAACGGGCTCTTTACAAAATACTGGGAGCGGAACAATTCTTCATTACATCTATATTACGCTATAGTTAATAATTCGATAGAGACACATATTAACGACGGAAGGACACTCGTGAGAATACAGTATAACATACGATAAAACAATATATTTCTCTCTCGTCTAAATTCTTGTTCGATATATAACTAAGATCTACGATTATCGTATCCCGACTCGAACGAGATCACAGCGCGTGTTAAATCCGAGAAAGGGAAATTTAAATGCAATGCGCTTTTTGTTTCACGAAAAATTCAGTAAAATTACAAAAATCGTATGTTGCAACAATTCTCTTTGATCGCTTAAAAAAGCGATCACGATCGCTCACACACGTGCAGATAGTCGCTTTTAACGTTTGAATTTCGGTTTCAACACGCGGAGAAATCGCACGAACCGAACTTTTTCCTCGTGACGTTTTTTTTTTTTTTTTATTCGCGGGCAGAAAATTTTACTTTTATATACTTTATATGCGCGCATGTGTGTATGTTTTGTCTACGAAACGACGAGGAGGAGTGCATCTCGGAATCATCACACCACGAATTACGTCAAATCACACGCTTGTTTGTTATATACTTAATACTGGAACGTTCATTCAAATGCTTAGGTTTTTATAGGCTTTAATGCTTTAATTGCGACGCTATATGGCACTTGGATTACGCGTGTACATCCGTTGTAGGTACTTGTTGCTCTTTTCTGGACAATTGCTATTTTTCGACGTATAAATAACAACTCGAAGAGTCGAAAACAAAGAAACTAATAAATTTTTTTTAAACGCAAACTATTGTCTCTCTCTCTCTCTCCTCTCTCTCTCTCTCTCTCTCTCTCTCGTATCATATGGATTGAAAATTGGATCGATAAGTAAATGAAACAACATTCAAACCTTTTTTTTTTTTATTTTTTATCTGAAACTGGTACTTCAAATATTAGAAATGTTGATACGTGATATTCTTCCTCCGTTTTGCTCTTAATCGCGAACGAGCGATTCGCAAAGTCGCTCTTGAATCATTTTCGCGATCGACAGAAAATACTGACTGTCGATGTTTCTCGATATATAAAAAATAATTTTTCGAAAAGCGGTACATGTCGCAAAACTTCTGAGAGGAGCTCGCGAATTTAACGTCCGCGATGATCCTAGGCAGTTCAGTGGAATGAAATTGGTTTTTACTTTCTGTTTATCTCTCTTTCTCTCCCTCTCTCTCTCTTTCTTTCTCTCTTTTTCTTTCTTGTAAATATATTTAATATATATATATATTTTTTGTTTAATAGTTCGCCGCTTTTTTTTGCACGCGGATACGAACGATTAATTATTTTTCCGCGCGGTATATAATATATGATACTTGCACAGACATAAAGTGCATTCGAGCAGGGGAATTCCAGATACGAGCATATTTATTAAAGTCCTACATGCTTCTTTTCCCTAAGAAATCTGTTACACGCTGCTGCTTTTTTTTTGTTCTTTTTCTCTTTCTCTTTTTCTCTTTTTTTTTTTTTTTTAATCTAAAATCTCTACATAACAGAACATCGCTTGACGTTGTACCTATTATCTTGGTCCACATTGTTAATGCTGAGTACCTTTAGGAGCCTCTCGGTGTCTTTGAACCCCTGTCTGCTGTGCTGCTGCTGCTTCATCAGCATCATCGTCGCCGTCGCCGCCGTCGTCTTTTTCTTCTTCTTCTTTTTTTTCTTCCGTTTGGTCTGCGGCAGCGTCAGCTCCAGCATCTGCTCGAGGCGCAGACGGATAGGCCAGTTACCGGCGCCACCGTCCTCGGCGTCCCGATGATAGACGTAGCTCGACGTGTTAGGCTCCTGATGATCTCGATGCTCCCACCACCACGGATTTTTGTATGACGATCCCGCCTGCTGCTGATTTCGTTGCAGATCCTGAAGAGGACGATCCTCGGTCTCCATCAGCCGTTTGGGCTGCACGAAGGAATCGTGAACGCGAACCGGTCGGGCAAGTGAGGACCTCTTCTTGGCTGGCGTTAAGTGCGCGGACTGGTGTCTTGCCAAAGACTTGCCCAGATTGTTTTTGCCGTTTCGGATCTTCCGGATTTCGTTAGGATTAGACGACGTTGGTATCTCCTTGTCGGGATACAACTCCATGTTTAGACCGGGTGAACAACGATTGCCACGATTTCGACTGACAACGACAGTGCCGCTGTCGTTCTTGCTGCTGCCGTTGTTGTTGTTGCCATAATTGTTGTTGTTGCTGCTGTTGGGATTGACGTTGTCCGCGTGGCGACACTGCTCGGCGCACTGCAAACAGTCGTAGTACTTTTCGGCGACGTGACGACGCGAAGTCGAAAACCGATCGCGCAGATCGACGTATCGGCGACGCTCGTTGCTCCCGCCACGTATGCTCTGATGATGATAAGGTTGCTGTCACACTTCCTGCAGGTACTTGAGAGGGCAAAGAATCTCCTTGTAAAGAACATCACCCTCTTTGCCGGTATGATCGGCGGATGCGAACGTCGACGCGCATCTCACCATTGCCACACCGTCTATCTCTTCGCCTACTTGAATCACGATCTACATATGTGACGTAACAAACAAGCTTCTTTGTTATAATTGTAGACTATATTGTCTTATACATATATACAGGGTGTCCCAGAATTGGTTTAACATCTCTTGTAGGCAGGTAGAAGGAATAAAACTGAGGTGAAAAGTCCTATACCATTTTGCTAGATTCGCAATAGTTACTGAGATTTTAATTAACAAAGATCCGCGAATAAGCGTGCATCGGGCTGTCTTACGCGCGTAAGACTGCCCGCCGCGCTTCGCGCGCTAACGGTGTTACCCATAGCGACATATGGGAGGAGCTAATATAACAACATATACTATAACATATACATATTAAAATGTAATTGTGTGAAGCGCGCCGGGCTGTCCTCCGCGCGTAAGACAGCCTGATGCACGCTTATTCGCGGATCTTTGTTAATTAAAATCTCAGTAACTATTGCGAATCTAGCAAAATGGTATAGGACTTTTCACCTCAGTTTTATTCCTTCTACCTGTCTACGAGAGATGTTAAACCAATTCTGGGACACCCTGTATATAATATACGCAAGATAAATCGAACTATAAAGAGATCGAGAAGAAAAATAATTTATTTTTTTTTACTTTTAATAAAATAATTGAAACAAATCGGTTTTTAATATATCAAAGTATGAACGACATAAAAACTTTTAGTAAAAATTTACTAAAACTTTACAAAATTATTTTTGTTATCGAAATAATAATAAATTTTATACGGAATAGTACCTGATCTCGCAGAAGAGTGGTTTGATCAGCCAATTGTAAGTTGCGTGTGACTTGAAGTGTCCTCTGACCGGATTCGACTCGCATCACATACGCACTTGGAAAATAACCGACGCGACCACCAAGACACTTGCCTTTCCACCAATCTTTTTCCGACTTATCAATCACTGTCACCTTATAACCGGCTCTACAATAGTCGTAAAAATCGCGTTTTTAAGTCGCAATCACAATAACAAAATTTACAATATATTAGTACATTAATATTGTTCTTTAAAAACATTTTGCCAACTTGATCTAACCGAAATGTGAATGTGACTTTTTCTGTTTTATTTATTTATTTTTTAAAATAGTCTTACTTTGACTAACAAGAAAGAAACGCATGCGTTTTTATTGTACACGTGACTACCGATTGCCGCAAACAAATGATTACAAATAACGGTTTTACCGTACACATGATGCGAATTCTTACTTAAGATCCAGCTCGTCCGGATGTCGTGCCTCGAAGTTGTACAGAACGACGTAGAGGTTGTTGGGTGGTAGCACGCGTTTGCCGGGCGGGTTCAAGTGGTTCTGATTATTGGTGTGCGGCGACGGACATGGCGACGTACTCGCCGACGAGTACGACTTCTCGTTATCGTCCTGAAGTTCCATCGATGACATCCGTATAGGGCTCCTCACGTGCTTACCGTGCATACCGTGGCTCTGACCCGGACTACATGGTGCTGCAAGGGCGACATTTGCGCGCAAAAATTTGCGGCTTGTACAGTTCCGGAAACCAGTTTCTTTAGGTTGTTACATGTGAAATGGCCGTTTCGTACATATATATACATCCGCGATTTTAGAAAAACATAAAAATGTGCAGATTTCGATGAAAACTCTTTTAAACACTTAACATCTCGACGTTTTATATTAATGTTCTTTGATTATTTATTTTGGAATAAGGATAACTATTTTCACATCGATAAAAAGCAGGAGTTCTCAGGGAAAGGGAATATTATAAATTTATTCGCACCTTCGTATCCCGGATGTTGACTTCCGTGTACTGAAATTTATTATTTCGATGTTAATATGATTTTTCGAACGTCAGATTTTGCGTATTGAAACATTTATTATCGCCTCTACAACATTACGTGTCGATTGCGATTATATATATAAATAGTAAATATATAAAATTTTTCTGCTAATTTAATTCACACATAAATACTCGTTTTGGAATAATTTACGGTTAAATTATGTTTATAATAGTCACTACATCGTCATTAAATGGACTTTTGTATAAGCTCAGTGTTTCGTAAGCTCCTCTGCTGAAAAGCTTTTGCAAATTGGCCATTTTATATGCATCGACCTTGGTAATATGTATCGCGTTAGTTTATCAAATCTGCCTCTGTACTCACACAGTCTGTTGATACTGCCGCTATCGGAGTGTCGGGGCGGTGTGGTTCCACGTGGACCGGCGGCATAATAATCCCGCGGACGATGCCGTACGTGCGCGGTGCCTTCCGGTGAGTCCAAGCTGAGGCTTTTCATCCTCAGATTCAATCTCTCGCGTCTACGTTGCGGGCTATGCGGCGCTTGGTTTTTCATAATTAACGGTTAGAAAGGTGTGTGTTAGCTGTGACACGAAAGGGTGCGATTCGACGCTGACATCGAAACATTTAAAAAATGACGACAATGAAGCGTAATTGCTGCTTTTTTCCAATGTACGTGTGTGTTATTATTTTATTAATAATAAAACATTCAGGAGAATATGATAAATTTGATAAGACCTCTTTTTGTGATGAAATTAGACATATTCTTTTGTTAATACGAGACGATAAAAATGTTAATCATGTTTGCGAAACACAATCACGATAATGAATGACACGTCGTGAATTGAAATTTGTGAAAGTGATTGAAGTTCCATAATAAGTTTTTAATGACTCGCAAAAGAAATAATCGGCCGTCAGCGTCGAGTATGATATTGATGAGCAAGCAGAATTGGGATTGATCTATCTATTGTTTTAAAATTATTTACAAATTGTGTTAATTATTCGACAATAATAATGTATATACATTGAAAAAAAAAAATGAGAAGCTCACAAACACCCAAACTACAACGGGACACGACTCGCGCGACAAAATAAAATTGAAAATTTTTCCAAACCTGCGGGAAGAGACCTTTTATTTACAATATTTACATGTGTTCTCGTCGTAGAAGATTCACAAATGATTGATTTTCAACGTGCATGTGGAAAACAACAATTCTACAAATAACGAGCCACTTGGTCCGTATTGCTCTACTTAAATTATCGGCTGTTTCTCTAATCTTCTTCTATTTCTGATAGTATTTCAAGAGCACAAATTATACGGTAATTGTTTTTGTTTTTCAAAATCCGTGAGAGATGAAGAATTAAATTGTTATCGATAAGTTTTTTTTTCTTCTATAGCGATAAGAGACGACACTTTGTTTTACAACAAAACTCGGTGCATTATCGTATAAAAGCGCTTCGCGACGCTCGTAAGTTTAGCCTCACTGAAAATGTTTTCACTCTTATCGTCCTGTGTGTACTCCATAAAACTATATCGTTCGAGAATTTTATGGCGTGTTTTTTATGCAAAATTATGCGTTTATTCTCTACTTAGAATGATCTCCGAACTTTAACATGCATTTGAACAAAAAAAAAAAAAAAAAGAAAAAAACGAAGAAGTAGCGAAAAAACACAACAGTCGTGTGTAGTGAAGTTGAAAGGAAGCAAAAAAAAATTCCTTCGTTGCGATAATAAAAAGGTTCGTAACACCGAACCAATAAGCTTGTTCGCTATCAGAGCGGCATAAAAAACAGGTAGTCTATCGGTTTAAAACGATTGAGAAGCGTAAATTGTTTCCGCGCCTGATATATTTGCGTACGCGCAACGAGCCACAAAGCACGATTGCTTTTCTCTCCACACGCTCAGGTAATATAAATCCACTTTGATGTTTAATATTTGTCAAAACCCAAGCACAACGCGACGCGTGTATCAATTTATTTAGAATATATCTTTCGAATAAGTTAAAATATTTTTTTATTTCGTACTGTTTTAACTTGTGTGCGAGTTAAATCTGCAAATTATTTGCGATACAAATCCACAAGAGAAATCAAATCCTAAATCCTGAATCAAAATTTAATTCCAAAAAAAAAAAAACAGTTTAAAAATAAATGAAAACAAATTTTTTAAAAATCTCGTAACGTTTGCACAAAACACACATACAAATACTAAACACTAACTAGATTTTCACACATTTTCGGAATATACGAACAGGTGTGTCGAATTAAAATATTTATTCAAGTTGTGTATTTTCATGCATTATGCATTCTCATCTTATGAATTTTTCATCGGAAATGTTCTTCTTCTTCTTCTTCTTCGATCAATAAACAATCCTAAGTGTGATGGATTGCCGCGAATAACGGCGATGTCAAAGCGTGTACACGAGATAATGATAAATTAGGCGAACACGACGTTTCGCGATGTCGCAAACCGAGAAGTGATTCAAATCGCAAAATATGCTTGCGCACCTTATTCCCTTTCTATGTCGCTCCTAAAGTAGATCCCGTACGATTTCCCGTGCGCTTTCACGGTATATAATCCGAGTTTTTCCTAAGTGGTGCCTCTTCCTCTCTCCGTTTTCTCATGTAGTTAGCTAATTACCTCGGGGAAATAAATTTCTAAGGATCCGCGTTAGCGTGTTCTCGACCCTCGTGTGTGTAAAACGTGGTTTTCGATCGTCGCTCTTTCGGTCATATAATGCGACCATAGCGACCTATATATCTACATTCGGATCGATACACTCGACTGATTGTGAGAATTCGACGCCCACATTTACTCGACGTTTGCGCGAGTATCTCCGTTTGATGCGCTCGTTGTCTCTCCGTGGCTGTCCATTAGCGACTATTAATCAGCGAACGTGAAATACATTCCTTCTCCTGAGCGTCACGAAACTGGTCGCGAATTATAATGAATTAGCAAACACAGACGGATAGACAGATAATGTTATCTTCTGCGACGTGAATGTTAAAATTTAATACTTTGAGATATCCTTTATATCTCGTCTATGCATATGTAAATATAGCGTGGCAATATCTCGATCTTTTTAATATCTGTTAACGCCGCGATAACGTTTTATCGCACGTACTCTGAATATATATGTGGGACACTCATTTGTACTCTTAGATGGGTATATATAGTATTATATATAAAATATATTCATTTTCCTATATATGTACGAATAAATAACGGCAGTTATAAACAAATGTTCGAAAGATCGTCGGATGTTGCGGCGATATATTTACACGTGTTTCGAGAGACACGGGTATCTAACAATATATCCGTGAAATATACGGAACACAAAGAAAAAAAGCTCGGATAAAGGGTGCGCAAACGGATAAATAAATCGACGAGCGAAAGAAAGAAAAATGGGACGAGAAACCGGCGCGACGCCGGTTAGATCCGTCCTCGAGATTATTCGCGGTCCTTGCGATGCTGCTGAATGCGCACTCGGATGCACTCGCGTGAATGTATTATTTGTCGAACGCGCGAGACACGACGACGCGACGCAACAATGCGTCGTCATCGTTTCTTATTGGCGCCGCGCTGAACCGGCATATCCATCTCGGGTGTCCTCCGCGGGGTTGATACCGAAGGTGAAAACTCCTGGGACATTAGCATCAGAGGCTGTCCGAATGGTCGCGTGCCTGAAGTAGATCCGCCGCTCCCGCGTCCTGATCAATCAGATTTCACAATCGATATTCGGAATTTCTTTCGGTTGTCTGTGAGAATTCACTCTTCACTCGAACTCTCAATCGGTGTCTCAGTCTCTCAAGATGATTTTTTAGAGATGTTACAGAAATCGTCAAGCTCGTGTGTGTGTGTCAATTCTCGTTAATAGTTCTCGTTAGAATAAAAGAAGAAACTCTGATATCGCGTTATCTTCGGAGTTAGTCGGCGATGTTCTCTTTTCGTTATTCGCTCCTTGACGAATCTTCTTTTTTCTTTTTTTTTCTTTTTTTTTTTTTTTTATCTCAATTAATCGTACAATGTATTTATATATTCAGGATTTTGCATATCGCGTAATATTCATATTTTGCTCGTAATAAATACAAAATTACAAACGAATAATAATTAAAGCAAAAATAATAAAATTGAACGATCAGATAACGAAAAAGAAAAAAATTCCTAAGAACAACAACTGTTTTTATTAACTTCATTATTATTACATGATATTACTTGGTGACCGCATTTCGCCATATATCATGTGTCCGTGATGATGATGATGATAATTATTATTATTATATTCCGTCATTATTATGTCAGATATTTAGTCGAACGTAGATGTGAGAAAGCTAATGAGGAGTGACTTGGGGTGGACGTTTAGATTTCGTGTGGTAAGCGCGAGATAAAAAAGTCAAAAGGGCGAGAAGCGATAAAGTGTCTCTCGTCGTCGAGGAAAGAGACACCCACGACGACAAGCTCGAGCTCAAAAAAAAAAAAAAAAAAGTCAGAATGTTCGACTTATCGACGTGATTCTCGGCTGTCGAGAGCTCGACGAGAGCCGCTCGAAGAAACTGAGGACGTACGCTCGTAAGTAATAGAGATAGTGAAGTGCAGTCTCTATTGTTGCCTAATAACGACGGTAAATCAGGTAAACTGTCTACTTGGTTGATAAACCTGTATATTCACAAAATAATTTATGCATGCACAATTTACAACGCGATATCTCGCTGTACGTACATCCGTTAAACTCGAAAATATCTCGATAAAACCATGAATTTTTTTCTGCGCGAGATATTTGCATGTATAACAAGTCGTAATGTACAAAAAAGATCACGCTGCGAAAATAAGCAAAAAGGAAAAAAATATATAAAATGTAAAAAAAAAAAAAAAAAAAAAAAAACGCCGAACACGAATGACATCGAACAAGGTGGCATTTATCGTCATGGGTGTACCAATTACAATACGATATGATAAAACTGTAAATATAATAATACTTTACGGTAACTACAGACGATCTTATCGGCTAGTACGAGAGTGTTAAACAGTATCAGAAATTACGTCATCAATGACTTACCTCGAAAGATCGATTTTAAATTGATTTTAATGAGAGAAGCAGAATAGAAGAAGACAAAGAAGCAGCAGAAGAAAAGAAGAAAAAAAAAACAAAAATAAGCGTGGAAGGAGAAGAAGAAGAAGAGAAGAGTGTATTAAAGAATCGATAGATTATACGAATTTACGAGTCATGTCCCTGAAGAAGACGAGCGACTTTACATATACACATAGAGAGAGTGACTCTTCGGACCTTGGAACTTGACAGTACCGTGGAGCACGAGCGACATAGTAAATACGTACACACATATACACGTGCTTTAAAAGAATAAACATGTGACTATACAATTACACAGCAGAATAACTAGCAGACACGAGAAGATAGAAATATCAAATATAAAATCATCAAAGGGATATACGACAGAAAAATATTCAATGTATCAAAAAATATAATTTGTTTTTTAAAAAGACGTGTGTGCGTAAAATATAAAATTGCATATAAAAGTGAAAAATTAAACAAATATAACGATCCTGCTCGAATACAATAAAATGAAATAACAATTATGTCAACCCAATGAAATAAAATTATATTTTTATCTTCTCTCTTTTATGATTATCTCTATGGGGTGAAAATAATAAACTACGGAGTATACTGGTAAAAATATGATAATACAAAAGATATTATTTATCATTTTTTTACTTCAAAAAACCAGAGATTGTGAAATAAAGAAAGAAAAAAAAACCAATAAAAAAATACAAAATCAAACGTTTGAACTTAAAAAACAGAAACTAGAATACATATTCAAAGGACAAGTTTGCTCCGGTACTACGTCGTTATGAAAAATGTATAAATTTCGATTTAAAACTAGCTATTGTTTGTTTAACAATAAAATTGATCAAAATTTTGAATACCGAATTTCACGATAATCTTTATCGCGTTTTTAATACAATGTAAAATGATACAGTTAGAGAGAAAAAAACAGAGTGTACATTTTAGATAATATTATAATCTTCCTCCGTGATATAATATTTGTCATTGCGAAAATTTCGACGTTTAACGTTCCAAGGTCGAAAGGAATTGTTGGTGGTGGTTGCGCCTTACCAGAGGTGGACGAGGAACAGGGATGGGAGGAAGCCCTCGCTGATGAAGGTGCTGCACTGGAGGGAGGATGTTCTGCTGTGGGAGGCGTAGGTGGTGAATTTGTCGAATTTCCACGGATCTCGCCTGCCTGCTTCAGCACCTGGTATATGGCGTCCACGTCTGCCCATACGGGATAAAGAGATACAGCAATGCAAAAAAAAAAACGCACCGACAGACTGCATAGGTAATTGTTCGATTCGCGCGCTCGAGCAGAGTGCTCAATTTGCACAGATTGATCTGTCTTCTTCTTCCCTCTTTTCGTTTTTTGCGTTGATAAATGATAAGAGATGGTGCGCGCGCGCGCACGGAAAGAACGTTTAATGGCTTCGCGCAATTAAATCGCAGTATAGAGAGAAGATGCTTCACGAAAGTGTATGTGTGAGAGAGAGAGAGAGAGAGAGAGAAATAAGAAAATAAGTCTTACCTTCTACATAATATATATTTCTACATAATTTGAAGATTATTAAATGAATCGCGTTATTTCGAGCTTGCAATTACCGTGAATTGTAAATAAATGTCCACTTAAATCCTCATAAGGAGAGATTTTCAGATTTATAGTGCAAAACATCGCTCTCTGTATTAGATTCTTTCTGCAGCTCTGAACATATTTGCTCTCTGACTTACGTTTTTCATTTTACGTCAAATAAGTTGTGCAATACTACTCGAGCGAGTAGAATTGCAGAAAGTAACTCGACGCGAGCTTTGAAAAGCTTTCAAATTTAGATTATAGAAAAAACTTCGTATATACATGTTCTCTCTCTCTCTCTCTCTCTCTCTCTCTCTCTCTCTCTCTCTTTATTTCAAAGCACTCGACAAATAAAATTATGACAAATAAAATTGGTTTACGAATTCTCTCTCTGATATCGTCGACAGCGGTTGATAATTCGTGCATTTCTATTTCTATTCTCTCTCTCTCTCCTCAGAATCCATTTACTCGCTGCATGCAAAGAGAAATCGCGAGAGAATAGAGCCCGCCCGCCGCTTCCGAATAAATTTTGTAACTATTTTTATCAACTCGTTAAGCGTGAGGAGGAGGAGAAATTCGACGTTCTTTCTCTCTCTCTCTCTCTCTCTCTCTCTCTCTCTCTTTCGCGTGCAGAAAGCGGAGAAAAAAATATCTCCCGGGTTCGAAAGATAATAGAGTTATCGAGGAATCGATCGGTGTTCGCCTGGGTCGCGTATCGTTCATCGAGAAAATGTCCTCGACAATGAGAGAGCTGTCGCGTCCGCCGTCCGATGAAGGGTAGATGAGGGGAACAATGTGAGTTATGGGGGGGAAAAAAGAAGAAACTTTCTCTCTCGCATCGAGATTTTTTTTCTGTACTCACTGTGATCGGAAGACGCCGGCATCTCGTCGGCGGGTACTTGCGTCTTTTGCCGTCGCAGAAGCGGTATGCCGCCGCCCTTCTTCGGGGCCAGACTCGGACACATCACCGGCTGCACCATGTTGATGCAGTCTGTGTGCGCGTTCGCCTTGCACCCGCGGCACCGAACACCCTGGCGGCTGTGGCCGCGCAGAACCTGACCGCACGCGTCGCACGGCGTGATCTTACGGTACGTGTACTCTCGCCAGGTGTGTCCGCCTTCGGACTCGAGGCTCTTCCTGCAAGACCAGACCCGTTTTTTTTTTTTATCCATTCTCCTCGCGATCTCGGAAGGAGGAAGCGTGAAGTTGCCGCCGAGATACGTGAAAATTCGATAATTCTGCGATGTTAGAGCTCGTTCTTTTGAAGTGCTCGAAAGTTTTGCATTGTAAAGAGTTTCGACGAGAGAAGCACTATTAGAAAGTTCATTTAAGAAACGAAAGATCTTTTGCGAGATCGGAGAGTGGCCAACTTCACACTTCGGTCTCACAAAGTGCTTTGTGCTTTGTGCTTTGTAGACGCTCTTTTGCATTCGTGTTATTATTATTATTTAATAATGCATATACATAGTGTGCGTGCTTTCGAAAGAACAATAGAAATGTGACACGTACATTTTTCGTGTGAATTAGAGTACTCACAAAATAAAGTTAAAGTGACATTGCGAAATTAAAAGTGCATACATCTTGTATTTTGTTAATTAAAAAAAAATAAATAAAATTGATTGATATTTTAAGTTAATCTTAAAGAAAATGTGTTATATTGATTTGCGCTGATTAATTTCGAAAAATTATTACGCGAACGATATAACTGTGCGAAAACACTTTTAACAACATATATATATTTGTTTTTTTCTTTTCTCCACAAACGTGATATGTCAGAAGGCGAAAAGTGCAAATGTCAACAGATATTCACGAACAACTGAAAAAAACTTACCTGGACATGGCGACGACGGTGGAAACTGCATGGTACATGGTCGCTTGCTTCCCTCTTTATTAGTCGAGCATTCGCAAAACAGTATCTACAGTTATTCAAAGTTTCTTTTCGTCTAAGGTCTATGGTTTCCCTAATTGGGAAACTTACAAAGGCTCACGGAAGTAAAAGCTATATATGTGTGTGTGTATAACTGAATAGGAATGAGACGAGAGTCGAACAATCTCGTTTCGTAAATTGACTTTAACAACATCGTTCTATATGCGAAGTTGCGGCAGGAAAAATTTTGTTTGTTCTGTACTGTTTGTTCCTGAGATGAAAACGACGGCGTTTCTCCTCTTCGCGGAGAGGCGGTTCTCGTGAAATACAAACAAAAGCTTTCCTTCTGCAAAACTTTTGCATTTACTTTAATTAATTGAAGTTTCAATAATAAATAAAACCAATGTGCTACGACGATTTCTAAATATGTTTCACTAATTATCGCGCTCAGGTAAACGCAGAGATAAAAGTCTGCGGAAAACTTCTAATTTTCTATTAAAAACTGAGAGAAAAAGAGAATGCTAATGTATTAGACTCGTCTATCTACGTTAGCACGACGAAGCGATGTTATGATCTTCAAAAAATGTTGATTGTGTTCATGCAAACATCTCTCGTAGGATTCGCAAGATAATTTTGCTGTTCTTTGCTTATATATAAATTACAAAAAAAAAATCAAGAAAAAAAATATCAAGATATGATTTTACGAGTTGATTTGTAATAACGCGAATTGTTTGCGCATCCCACGAATACACGCTATGTATATTTATTTATTTATATTATATATTTATTTATTTATATTATACATATATAAATTAAATATATATGTATATATATATATGTATATGTACATATACGTACGTATATTGATTAAAAAAAAACACGAAAGAAAGAGAAAAACAATTTTGACGAAAGAAAAATACGAACACGAGGACGATCAACATCGGATTTAATCGAAAAACAAAGCCAGAATCCCTTCTTGTTTCTTCGTCGTCGAAAGAAATATATCGGATAGAGCGGAATACGGTATACATTCTTCCCGATATATTTAGCCGAGTCGTGGAAGACCATCTCCGTCGCGTCGGAAACGCACGTCGGGTACTTTTCGCGGCATGCACGTGACGAAAAATTGCTGTTAGCGAGAAAGGAAATAAGAGTGGCTCACTTGTCGGACAGAGGCGGCGTCGTGGGCGAGCTGGTCTTTAGACTCTTGAACGCCTTTAGCCATTTGAGCTTGGGACTTCCGGTCGAACCGTTCGACATCTTCCGACTGGTCACTCCATCCGGTTGCGCGGCCTCTCCGCCTCCGAACAGCTCCTTCTGCAATTCACAGGAAATATGGTTACTGACACGTGATTCGGAATGCGAGTTCAGTTCGGACACGTGGTATTATATATATATATATATATTCCTTATTGTCATATATATATATATTACACATTGCCATGAGTGATAAAGAAAAAATAGCGCGCGAATTTGACGATTGTGCGCATCTGTTCAAAGATTTCCGCTATTTGTTCGCTGAATCTTTTAGTAAATAAATAAAAATGATAATCGGGAGACGGTTACATACAATTCGTAACATGAACGTCGTTATACGAGAAACCGCGCGATCAGAAAAATACTGTATTTAGCGACTTGAGAGTTGTACTGCGACGAGTTTAATCTCTGTCGCAATGCACACGTAGCAACGCGTTACCCTGAAAGCAGACGCGTCGATACACCACCCTGGTTGAAACGTTTCCATGGAGATATCAACCAATATTGGCCTCATTTTCACTTACAGGAATATATTCATTGACAGTACGCGCGTACGTACAACTTCCATTGATGTCTATAGTCATTGAGAATGTGAGCTCAGCCATTGTTCGTGGTCGCGGCATTAGTTTCTTTGTGCTCGGGAAGTTCATAATGAACAACTGCTTATCCTCTTAACACCTCGGTCGATTAAATATTCACGCAAACTCTGTATCGCAATTTTTGCGCGATTTAACAATAACACAAATTGAACAAAGACGCGTAAATATATTTCGTCTAGAAAATATTTCTGAGTGTAAGAATATAAGAATATAATTAATCTTTTTTTTTTTTCGCAGTGCAACCAGAGCACTGCTTTTATCTGAAGGCGTCACATAAAACGAAAGATACAATCGTCATCTCGGCGCATATTCTTAATAACCATAAACATAACGAAAGCACTGTAGGCCTTTTCACTTTTCAACCAGGGCGACCTTGTCTTCAACGACGGTGTACCCGTCGAGCGAGTCCACTGAATCATGCGGCACCTTTGGTCATGCGATGTGGCGTGCGGAAAATGACACATATCCACGCTAGAAAAAAAAAAATATATCTATATGTATATACTAACGACTCGCGTACGCAGTGTAGTCCAACCCATCGTTAACGGCCAAACAATTCGCGATATTCACGACAAACAGTGGCGAAAGTTAGCGCGTAGTCAGACAGCAGACGATCCTGCTCGCCTGACCTGGATAGACGGACTCGCTCTCGGCAGGAATGGATTTTCAGACGCTTGCTCGTGCTCGCCGATGACCCAGTTGCGAGAGCGCATGTCGTGCGATTGCGCGCCACCCGGTATTTGTACGCGGCGTTTAGGCTAAAGCGCATCAGTGAATGACCAATCGCCAGTGAATGACCACAGGGAGACAAGTCTCCGCACTTGTATATGAAACTTTACGGAAATGAACGCGTTCCTATTTACAAACGCGTCCGAAGCTTAAATACCTACCGGAGCTTTCGAAGCTCCGAGCCGAGCGAGTTCTCGCGCCACGTGTGAGAGAGTCTGCTTGATAATAATTCGCGTGCAAAGATTTTGTTTCGACGATAAATTTCAATTTTGTCTTCCAGATTGAACGTTAACAGTTTTTCATACATTTTATTTTTTTTTTTTTTTTTGCGTGATATTCTATTTCGTTCGCACAGAATATCTCGTATTTTATTTCTCTCGTACACTCTCTCCCACGATGATGTAACGTAACAAAATCAATTTGCGTGAACGTAAAGTTGCGCGCGCTCTGTTGAGTTTTAATTATCTCATTAAAATAATTATTTAACGAAGGGTTGCGCGGTCATTATAAATGTTGTCGAGTTGTTTTGAATGTTTTTTCCTTGTTTATTATTACTTGTGAACGGGGCGAGAGCTTTTTTTTTTTTCATTTCAAGCTTCAACAACGTTCGAACAATTAAGCAGCCATTCACTGCTATATATCATACATCAATTCCGTACACGCTATGCATAGGCATAACGTGGCTTGAAGCCATGCGTGGTTGGACAAATTGGATGAAATCGAGGGAATGCAACGGGATAGATATTTGATCAATTTTAGGTCGCGAATATAGAAGCATTTAATACATAGAACCTGTTTATTCTAGAATATTGCCGGAGTTTCACATTTTGCAGCAGATATATATTTAGTACTTTATTTTTCCCAGGAATCGCAATGAAATTTTCTCTTGTTTGTATTTTGTGATAATAAATGCAAGAGTTATACGCGAGAGGAGGTGTATATTTTTATACGCATTTTATAAAATGAGAGCATTTAAAATGCAATAAAGTAATGAACGCCGGGCGATTGTTAAAGATGAACAAATTCATAAATTTGCGACAAACGCCGCGTATAATGTAAAAAAGAAAAACAAACACAAGAAAGCGTACCTGTGCTTGCACTGCGGCTAACCGCAATTGCGCCATACCGAGGTCAAAACGTTTGACTGAAATATCTTCTTGTAGCTCGGCTACTTTCGTATAAAGATTACTCTCAGCGCTCCTGAAAATGGGATGTGATAAAATTACTACTTGCGCGCGCGCGCGCGCTATGCTTCGTTTTAAAAGATTAAAAACTGATATATTTCCTTGCTTAGGATTATAGATTACCTTACACCGACTGCGGAAAATAACGAAAGGTAAATTTTACTTGACCTCTTAAGAAAAGCCACAAAATAATTCAAGATACTGTACAAAATATTGTGTCATTAAGTGTAAAACTTAAAAAAATATACATATATATCTATATTGACAAATATATATTTGTAAAGTTTTATATTTGAATTTAATGATCCAGTATATTTATTTGCAAAAAAAACTATAAACTATAAATATCAAGTTTATTATATACGTTAAAAAGTTGTTTTTACAAATATGCAATAAAAAATTGTACGTTATAATAATACGTTATATAAATTTAATAAACTTCTGTAAAAAAAATCTATAAAAGAAATTTATATAAAATTAAATATTTATAAAAATCCACAGAATGATATTTGTACTGCAAATATCAGTACTACAATATATATGTAGTAAAAAAAAGTTACTAAATCAAAAATACACAACGAAAAATCACGGTTATATTAAACGTGATAACTGTATACGTACTTGCGCTGCATTCGCACGAGAGTGTCTAACGCATCTTGCAGACGACCTATTTCCTGGGTGAGATTGTCGTATTCGTGTTTAAGATTCTCCATGAGAGGGAGCGTGCTTGCGCCCGTTGGTGCCAGTTCGTCCCTGAGTGTGGGTATTTGACTGATTTTCTCCATTGGTATCTGCTCGGGTGGTGCCGGCGCGACGTACAGGCGTCGCGGCGGCTTCCGCGGCGTCGCGTTCACGGACAAAGTTCGCACCAACGCCTTAAATAGTATTACATTGTTCCGGTAATTTACGTGTACACAATATTATATTTTATAGAATATTATTAATAAAAATATAATATTATAATATGAATTGACTATAATATATGGATGACTTAGTCGGTACGGAAATTAATATTCAAGAGATTTCCGGATTTAAATCCGATTATTTGCTGGAAATTCTTTCAGGGTCGATCTCTTTCTCGGAAAACAATAACGAACTACTATGTGATCGCGCTTGCCGAGAGAGACTTTCCTTAAATAGATATTTTTGATTTGTAATTCAAAATCAATTTAAAAAACTGTAAATTCTTTGTCGTACAGATATCATGTAATTAAAGATATTTAAAAAGACAATGTGTGTATATGTGTGTGTGCGCGCGACACGTTATGTAACTTCGACAAAATACTTTTCGTACCATGTGTGTGCTGTCATGTGTTCAAATAACTCTCTCGAAACACACGTGTGTGAAACTGCACGGCAACCGCGTTTAAGTGAAAAATCGAGCGACTCGACCGACAGATTCAAGAGAAGGGATTTGCGCGGGTCAGTAGTTGAATACCGGCGTGTTTGGTCAGCCGAACAAGTTAACTCCTCGTATACAAACGACACACGACGCGATTTCCCCGAAGCCTCGATATTCCGAACGCGTTTCTCTCATGTGACCGAGTATGACCGACTTTAATCAGCCATCTCTGTTTTCACTCTGTGCTCCCTCTTCCGAATGCCAACGATTGTAATCCGCAATCAGATACCTCGACGTCGCGAAATTGGATATATGCCCGGTACGTCTATTTGCTATGCGTGATCAATATGTCCGGAATACGAATCATCGTGCGGGATATATCGCATCTCTCTCTCTCTCTCTGTGTCGATCGATCGATGGTTCCGAGTGACATATCGAGCGCTAGATTGACGGGAATAGGCCTCGTGTCGTCACCCCGCGTTGTCAGCTATTGAGAGGATTTTGTCTCGTGATAGACGCAAATTAGAAACGATCGTGTTATTTCTTTCTTTCCTGCTGTTTAACAAAGTTCTTTAGGTATCTTTTCGATACGACAATAAAAAAGTCATCAAAGGAGTTTGATTCAATTCCAAGAAGAAAAATGTTCGAGAGAGAAGAATTTTCCGAACCGATGTCGCGCTCGTTCAAACAATCCGAGAGAAAACTATCTCCGCGAGAAAAGAGAGAAGTACGTGTGCGAATATATACCTGTAGATCGTTTGCCGGGACAACCGCCTGCGCTTCCTTGGTCAAGCTCTGATAACGCTTTGCTTGTTCGCCGTATCGTTCGCTGACCGCCTCCGAGATCCCGGCGACGCATTTGCAAGCCAATCCGCAAAGTTCCTCATAGACCTCGGCAATCTCGCCCAATAGCCCGGGCAGACAATGGAACTGATATCGCTCGGTGATAGCGTTCGTGGCGCGTAGCTGCATAACATAGGCGTTGTGCGACTCCAGGTAAGCTCGTTTCAATTCCTGCTCTGCACTGCCGCCGGCGTCGTTGGTTAGCAACGCGGCGTAAGCGCGTTTGTAATCCAGTCTGGCGCGCTGCAACTTCTCCTCCGTTTTGCTAATCATCTGCTCGTAAGTGTCGCGATGTGCGAATACCTATATATAGGGAAGAAAACGCGAGCGATATGTATATGAAGCGCTTGAGAAGATCGGATGGATATATGCGACGTGTCCCAGAAACATTTCAAACACAACGCGCGCTATGCGGTCGCTCGTGAATTGAAATGCCGTTCGCATTAATATTGAAATCGAATAATCGAGAACTCCTGGAGTTGCTTCCCGGGAAACTTGGCCGACCGTTTTCGCCAACTGCGGCGAACTTGTCTCTCCGTAGCTGAGCAGTCGGTACAACAGTCTTATCGCGATCAAGGCGTCTTTGAATTGTCTGAAATGGCAATTTGCAATCGCGCGGAATAGCAATGTCACAGCGTCCGCTCACCCCGATTTCATTTGAATTTGTAACGAAATAAACAAAACACGTAAATGCACAAATTTCGCGCAACTCGAAACCTCTCTTTATGCGATTGATGTAACGAGAAGAAAATTCATAGTACAAATATATCGTATATATCTATAGGGTTACCTTTCTCGACTGCAGCTTCCGGTGGAAACTCGCTTCTAAAGTGGACCTCGACAGCTGTTGCTGCAAAGTCGCGGCCAGGTCGAGCTGCGACATCGCGTCCGCCTCGACTTGCCGCATCAAATTCTCCCAGACTCGTCGCATGCCGCCGGTGTCGGTCCTCGTATCGCTCGATCGACTGCGAAATTCGTCGACCAAACGTCGCACGGTCGCCGAGTGGCTCTCGATCGCGGCGCCCAACTCCTGAGCAAACTCGGAGACTGCTCTCGCGCGAAACACAAGATAAATTATTAATCGAATAATTGTAGTTGAATGTAGATTTAAGGATAATAATTGTAGATGTTACACAATTTTGTTGGCAATTTTGATCGATAAATGGCGAATCGCGTGTGACCCAACACGTAGATTTTGTGTTCGTGGGAAAATAGCAATTAATATTCCTCTTGCTGCGCGCGCGAGCGATCACCGCGTCGTCGTTAATCAACAGCTTCTGCGAAATTCATATATATTTGACCAAGCAAAGCTGCGATGTACACGTACAGAGAAAATGAACGACCGTATTAATATCAATCGATGTGTATGTTGTAAGATCAAGTTTCTCATGAAAATTTCCGAAAGCGTACAAACACAAGTTGTATCCATTGTTTGTTAATTATAAAACAAATCGCAGAAAAAAAAAACATTTTAACGTAACATTTATGAAAGAGTAAATGAGAGAAAGTACGGAGAAAATATTTCTTTCTTTATGATATGTGCATCATCTTTTTTTTTTTTTTCTACGATTTCTTATACATATAACTGCAAAACTTAAATACCTACTTAAAATATCTCACGGACGACCTGAGGGAAAGAAAGAACCGAGAGAGAAATAAACGGATATTATTCAAATGAAACTTTGAATTCGAACTCGGAGTTTTGTTTCGGTAACAGAAAGATCCCGCTTTGGCGATGTGCCAGCGGAACCGTTAACTTTTACGCTGGCAAATGTTACGACGCGGTTGCGCTACCTTCCTTTCCGTCGATTCGATTTGCTCGTCAAAGGCATTGTTTGGCAGTTTCCGATACATTGGAACGACGTCGCGAAAAAGAAAGGCTTGTATGTGGCGGTCGAAAAGTAAATTGCGTCCTCTTCTTACGGATACAGAAATCGAACCTGGTAAAATGTTATTTCGGACGTATCTAGAGTGTCATTCGCGCGACCGCGCCGGGAATTCAATATTCCCGCCGTCTTATTCAATATCTCGAGCGGAGAACTTTGAAATATCCTTTTATGGATCGTTCGAATGGCCTCCTTCGCGATTGAGGAACGCGAACGAGAGGATTGTCAAAGTGTAGGGTCCTCCCGCAGATCGTTATCGTTGTCGTCATCGTCGTGATAGCGCGGCTCTTTGTGGCATTTCTTCTCCTAGCGCGGCGGCTTATTTTCATCGTTTCAGTGAACCGTGTCTTTATCGACGCGAGAAAATTGACGTTTTTTTTTTTTGTTGAAAATGTAGGCGAAATGTAATTTGCGTTACAGAACAACGATCGGATGAAAGTAGATAATGCAAAACAAAAGTCAGGATATTGATGTTATGAAAAAAAAAAAAAAAAAACAATTATTTTGGGTCAGCAAGAAATTTTCTATGTGGTAAATATATATTTATAATACAATGTTTGTTTTTTATTTGCAACAACGAGATAATACGCTAAAGAGATCCAAGTGTGCATTAATATATTATTAGATTATTTGTTAATTATTCAAATATATTCGTATCCATATTGTCGATTATTGCCCATTAGCGATAATAAATTATATACTATTAATAACAATAATTATATATTATTAATAACAACTCTTATCTTTCTTTCTAATAAAAATATTGAAATTATTTCAAACTTAATATTTAAAAATAATGAAGTTTATATTGTATACACGCGTAATGAATACATAGAATACACACACACACACACGTGTGCGCGTGATTTGACACTCACGGAATATCATTAGAAAAAAATAATTTACAACGTTTTACTAATTTTTTGAGGTTTTACTCTGAAATATGTGAACGAGACAGATATTTTATTTATGTTTCTACGGTTTTCATTTTAAATATTTTCAAACTATATTTTTTAATTGTATTCGCTTTTTTGACATCTTTCAACAATATATCAGTCACGTTGGTTTTTCACGAAGATTGTCACACTCTTGGAAAAATTTATGAGATAATTATTGTGTAACAAATGAGCGTACCGAAATCTCGCGCGATCACGTTGAAGAAGAACCATTTTGGCGATAAAAACGTATTCAGTCGTCGGTTACAATATATCTTCGTCTATACGCGATCATCTTGGCAGAAAAACCCGGATCTGTCAAGAAATATATGTGTCGGTAGAGTAGTGGAGGCGGGGGGAAAATGCATTAAGACTTGCGTAAAAATGTATATCCCCGATAAAATTGTAGTTTTGTAAAAAAGTGTTTAGAGCAAGAGAATTATTTCACAAATACAGATGACACAAATGTGTCGGTTTCTTCTCCCTTATGTTTTTTTCTGCTCAAATAAACATGGAAATATTACAAATAAAATTCGCTAACACGAACGACGACTGTCTGTGTGTTAAAAAATATCGTACTCTACACCAGTGTCAAATATTATATGTGCGAAATATAAGTAGAGAAAAAAAGTCCAACAATTCAGTACGCTGTTTACTTAGACGATCGCGAGAAAGTGAGAGACAAAAAACACGTGGGTGGTTTTATGTTGTAACTATTGTTAGTGAAAATATATGCACACAAGCAAAAAACAATTCGCATTTCTTATCACACAATACACGTTCGCGCGTTCACGCGACCGACCGACCAACCGGTGCGAGAAAGATAACACATTATGTTACAGTAACATAATAATGGGTTTTCTCAAATAATCAGCTTATCCGTATTTCCGGTTCTACCAAACATTGATTCGATATCCGGGCGCGTTACAATTTTGCGGTAAAAAGTTCGCGATAAATTCGTTTTCAAATGAGAACGCGCCGGAGATAGGGATTTATGCCAGTCAGCCTGGCGGCGAAATATCATTTTTCCTCGTCAAATAATTCAAACAAGCGGAGGCTCGATAGAATGACATCTCTCGAAACGGAGTCGAGATAAAACTCGTGTATTCAATAAGACAGGCCGGGAGCTTCGCGACGGCGACCTCCGGATAAAGGATTTTGTCAGCGAGTTTACCTGCCGTTAAATAATTCGACCCGTTTTTTACGAACATTTCTCGTTTTGCCGAGAGCTGTCGTCACAAGACATCGTTGTTTAAGTGCTCCTCGTTCTTTGTCTCTAACGAAGGAAAGATCGATGTCCGCGTATATACAAGAACTGTGTTTATCACGGGACAAACAGAACTTCGTGAAAGCCGAGAGAGACGGAGATTGTTGGCTCTTGAAAATTGAAACAACAAAATGGCTTTCTCGTAATATTTTATATTAAAATCAGAATATTCTGGTATACGAAATATCACAAAGAAGTAAAAAAAAAAAAAAAAGGAAAAAAGCGAAAACTTGTACATAACAACGCGTATACAAATATTACGCGAAAAATAAATAGCTTTCAAAAAAAAGCCATCAAAATAAATAAATATATATATTATAAATATGTATTTAACAGTTTCCGGAAAAGTGGCTGCTGAAAAGTAGGCAGCTCTCTGTTGACTGTAGCCTCGGAAGATAACTAGAATATTTCATTTAAAAAGGTTTTAACCGCCGAGAGCGCGAGGGAGAAAGAAAGAGAGAGAGAGAGAGAGAGAGAGCTTTCAGTTAATATCAACTTTAATTTCACTTTAACAGAATCTCAACTAGTTACGAGGATGGTTCACGTGGAAACTTTCGAAGTTGTCGGGTCGGCGGGGAAGATGGCGGTTATAAATAAATTATCATGGTAAGGGAGTGTCATCTTGCGCGCACGCTATATTTTCGAACAACATCGCGCGCGCATTAACGTCGTGTCAATAAACGAAGTTATCCGGTTTACACGGTAGTGTAAATGTTGCATCACGTTGCGTCACGCGTACATATATCCATGTCACCGAAAACAAATCCGGAATTATGATGGTGAACCAACGAGCTATTGATCATCCGTCGTCGTCGTCGTCGTCGTCGTCGTGCCGATGATTTAAGCGGCTCGGAGCGAAAGGACCTTATATAAACCTACGCGCGCAATATTGTCCTCATTAAGATATTTGCATTAGCCTAAGCTTCGCCCCCGTTTTCGGGAATTAGCGTTTCGGGGGCAGAGCTTGTGAATCAAGCAGCGTATCTATAATGCGCAATTTGTTCGTCGATCTCCCCGGCGTTAGCGGACTGCATTAGCGCCCTGGAGATCGCTTAACCGTTTAATCATCATTTACGGAAGCCTGATATGCCTTACGAAGGAACTTTGTGCGATGCATGCATAATGCGGCTATTTAAACATTTTGAGCTCGAACTATGTAACGGTCGAAGCCTGTTTGACAAATTGAGTCTGAAATTGCCGCGTGATATTTGCGGTATTACGCCGGCTGAATTATTAATGCAAGGAAGATGTGTTTAAATTCGCATAAAATTACGAGACTCGTTGTGTAAAATAATGAAATAAAAATATACATTAAGTAAATATATATATTGCGAGCAAAATCAAGATAAGGATGATAAGATCTGAAATGTTTCTCAATTCTCTTTTCCTCTCCATAGTTTCAAAGGCCATCTTTTTCGGTCAAAATAACAATTTTAATAATATACAAAATTAATATCAAGAGTTGAGACCGTACGTAACGTGGTTTTATTAATCAGAGATCAATTATTAGTAACTTTCTGAAAAAAAGTTGTTTTAATTGTATATTATATTTAGGGAAATCCTATACATACGTAGAGTGTTACATGATATATTATATAAAGTTTATACTCAAACGTATAAGCTACAATTTTTACAACGTTTCTGTTTGTAGAAGTCCCCTATTCTGAGACTCTGACACGTTACACCATGTATATATTGTTTACTACTTCTATCAGTTTCTATTTTTCTATTTGCAATATACAGCAATATATCAAATGAACGCAATATGTATTGTGTATACATACGCGCGATAATATTACTATTCATCAAAAGCAATTTCGTGGAATAGCATTGTACATATGTACATACATATGTATCAATCTCGAGATTATATTGAGAGAGAATATAATATCACACACATCACAATGTGAATACACGTTATGTGTAATATCGTTTGGCGATTGGAATACTATACGATTA